CCCTCTGCAGCCCAGGCAGCTTTAGGTCCCAACATGGCTTCAGTCCTGCTCACTCCAACAATTTCTCATCAGAAACTGAAAAGAATGAAAAACATGAGGTGCCTAAATTCTTGATTCTGCCTCTTGCCCCTGGAAGAGCTAGAAGAAGGCTCCCGCCCCCTGCCCCCACATCTGCTCACAGCTTGGCTGGGGGCCCAGGTCAGGCTGTCTATTAAGCAAAGATCTATGTACCCAAAGATGTCATCAGCAAAGTTGAAAAAGCCAGCCAAAGCAGTATCTTCAGAGAAAAGACTTGCAACAAATATTAGGGACAAAAGTTTAAGGACAAGTATTAATATTAAAAAAAAAAAAAACTCCTACAAATAATTAAATAAAAGCAACCCAGTTTTGTAAATGGGGAAAGGATATACACAAGGCTGTCCACTGCAGAGGGACAGGGAATAGTCAATCTGTGTACACACGAAAAGATGTTCAACCTCACCACGTTAGTGACCGGGAAGTGACATTCCAAACGAAGAGATATCTTCTTGCCTGTCTGGTAGGCAGAAAGTCAATTGCTCGTGTTGGTTGTTGACTCAGGGCTGGGCTAGGGTGTGGGTAGCGGGGAGGCTCACAGGGTTTACTCCTCTGCGGTGGAGAGTGGAAGTGGGTTTTCCGAAAGGCAGTTTGGCCAGTGGTGTGAAAATGTTAGCTGCACGCGCCCTTCAAGCCCACTGTTACAAATGGAGGCTGTTCGTTCAGGGACTGCACTTGCACAGAGAGGTGTGTCTCTAAAAGCAAAAGCACTGGAAACCACCTAAATGCAGCGAGACAGTGGGATAAAGGAGGATTTAGAATCCCACTGTCAGGTGCAGGCACGGCTGTGGAAAGATCTCCCAGGGGTGCTGCTGGGTGAAGAGAGCCCACGGCAGAGCATGTAAGTCTATGTGTGGAAATCAGACCAGGAGGATTTAAACCCAAAGGGCCACTCTGACCACCGCAAGGCAGGGTGGGATTGGGGAGAAAGGGACTGGGCCAAGGGGGACTTTGGGTTTACCCACATTGTTTGTTTGAGTTGTGCGGGGAGAAGATGTATTTGTGTTCTATTTATACAACTTGAAAAATGCATTAGAAAAAACAATTTTTGCTTTCTTCGAAGTGAATGACCGGTTAGTTCCTAAGAAAGTAAAAAAGCGAGACAGAACAGGGGCCTGACAGACACTAGAATTTATGCAGTTTGAATGGAAGAACACACAGTCTTTGGAGTAGGTTAGCAGAGAGGGGAGGCCTGCAGCAGAGCCAGCCGCCAGCAGTCATGGTGGGGCACTGCCCGGAGAGGACGGCAGGGCAGCAACGGGGGGAGGGTGGGTCTCGCTCCCCACCCCCTCTTGTGAGACCCTGGGTCTTAAAGAAAAGCAAAGAATGTCGTTCTTGAGACGCCTTCAGAAATTTGCAAATCAGGGAGGGAGTTCTGAGGCTGCTCACAGTAGAGGAGAAAGCACTGTCCCCCGGATCAGAAACACCCGAGTTCAATATCCAGCTCGCCCTCCCTGGTTCTTAGTGCCTCATCTGTGAAACGGGGACAGCAGTATCTGGCACCGTGAGGTCAGGTGAAGGGGTGAGTGAAACTGGGTGTGTAAGACATCGGCCTGCCGTAGGCTCTTCCCAAAATTGGGCCCTTTCCCTTAGATCAGCAAGAAAAGACAGGGACACCCAGACCCTGTGTGGAATTTATTTGAGAACTGCTAGGAGGTACAAAGTGCAACGTCATCAGAGTGGTGGCCGGCCTGAGGGCTGGGAGAGACCTGGGTGTGCCCTATGTGAGAATGGAGAGTCCTTAACCTTCCTCCGGAGCCCACGCCCTCCTTTGAAAAGTGCAACTAAAAAGCAAAGTGAAATGACTGGGCGCCCTATGTCACCCACAGGTGGCACAAATCCAAAGAGAATGAGAGGAAGACACCAGCTTAAAACTGCAGGGTGTAGACCTGGTAGAGAGAGGTAATCCCCAGTGTCCGAGAGGGAAAATGAAACTTGACTCTGTTATCTTTTCAATTCTTTATGAGAAAAGCAACCCTAAAACAAGGGACCCTGCAGTGTCCCCTCTCCTGACCAGCCTTCCTTTCTGCTCTGCCCCAGCCTGAGTCTCAGCCCGACTTCTTCCAGCCACTTCCGTGTTTAATCATAATTGTAGATGGCTGTGAGTTTTATGAAGGGCCAGGAGAAAAAAGCAGTCAGAGAAAGCTTTGACAAATTATACCTGCCATGACGGTGATGGTGATAGTTGGGGAGACGATGGTGTGGTGGCTGGGGTGGTCGTGATGGTGTTGGTAGAGGTGGGTGGTCATGGTGGGGGTGGAGGTGGTGGTGATGGTGTTGCCTGTGATGGTGGTGACTCTGGTGGTGCTATTGATGGTGGTGACAGGTGGCAGTGGTGACAGCAGAAGTGGTATGTAAAGTGGCTGGGTGGACATGGTGGTGATGGTGTTGCCTGTGATGGTGGTGACTCTGGTGGTGCTACTGATGGTGGTGACAGGTGGCAGTGGTGACAGCAGAAGTGGTATGTAAAGTGGCTGGGTGGACAAGTGAGGTCAAAAACAAGTGTAGCCCAGCTGATATATCAAGCAAGGGGTGAGGTAAAGGGCCATCGCCTGCTTGGTGGTGACCCTCGATACATTCTGCTTGGTGTTCAAGTGGGTCGTGCAGGTGTCTGATTTTCTCATCCCACTTCTGGAGGGCAGAAGTCTTATTAACTCTACATCTCCAGCACCGGGCAGCATGTCTGGCATAGAATAGATGCTGGGTAAGTGTTCTGTGAATAAATGTGTGAGATTGTGGACTTGGTGCCAGGCAGGCAGGGGTACAAATCCTGCTGTGCCGTTTACCAGCAGTGCGACCTCAGACGAGTAACTTCAGCTCTCTGGGCCCCGTGTATTCACCGAACAACTACTGAGCATCTTCACTGGCCAGACGCTGTTCCGAGCACCGAGGCTGGGGTCCTGAACACAGTGCTCTTGGTCTCAATTCTCACGGAGCCCACATTCCAGCAGGGGGGACACACTATGACCACATAAATGAAGGAGATAACTTTAGCTCGTGGTGACATCACATGATGTGGAACAAAGCAGGGTGACTTGATAGAGATGACCTGGTGGCTGTTTTAGCTAGAGAGGTCAGGGAAGACCTCTTTGGGGTCTGAGGCCTGAGAGGCAAGGAGGTGCTCCTCGCAGGGGAGCTCCGAGTCTCTGGACTCCTCGGAGGGTGTGGCTCGAGGCAGCTCAGCAGTGGGTGAGGGCTCGGGTCTTACAGAGAGGGGCTGCTCGTGGGGAGCCTTAGCGGCAGGGGCAGGGGTCAGGGTGGTCTTCTCCCTGCAGTGGGAAGCAGCTAGACGAGGGTTCAGGCACAGGGGAGGGGGTATTTTGGAAGTAGAGCAGGAACACCCGTGCCAGGGATGTAGGAGGGAGGACAGGGGACAACCAACGGCGGTCCTGGAGTTTTTAAGCAACGGAGTGGGTGAGGTGAGAAGCACAAGGGGTACGGGGGAGGCAGATTTAGAGGGAAGAAGAAATGGAAGATCTATATTTTGGCTGTGAGAATTCTGAGATGACTGTAGACATCCCTGGTGCGCTGGTCTGCAGAGCAGGACAGTAACTGGTGGGCGGGTGGCGGGAGCTCAGCACGATGCCTGCAAGGCTCACGCCCTGTCAACGCTGCCCTGATTGGTGCCTCTCCTCGCCCCCCAGGTGCCTGGTGAACCCAATCCCATCAACATGGTGTCCAAGCTCAGCCAGCTGACGAGCCTGCTGTCCTCTATTGAAGATAAGGTGACCGCAGCTTCTCTTGGCTTCTCTCTGGTCCTCCCTTTGCATGGAGAACGCCCAGGTGTGCAGGCTCTGTGTCCCCTTTGACTCTCTGTCCCAAATGCTGCTGCCCACAGGTCAAGGCCCTGCTGCATGAGGGTCCCGAGTCCCCCCACCGGCGTTCCCTCATCCCTCCAGTCACCTTTGAGGTAAGTGGCCATGACAGAGCCTGGCCTTGGGCTCCGCAGTTGGGGTGGGGGGACATTCTGGTGTCTGTGGGAAGAAGGCTTTGGCTCAGGCCAAAGAAGAGCATGGAGCCCACAGCCAAGAATGGCGCTCAGTGAACCACCTCGCCGTGGAGATGTTAAACAACAGGGGGGTCCCGAAGCATCTGCGGAGCCCCCTTCATGGGAGAGCTGTGAGGGAAGAGCTGTTCGCTGACCCAGGATGCTATAAACACTTTTCTTCTCGAAATGCGGCCATGAGTGACATCGAACAGGGGGCCCCAGACAGGCTGCAGAGGAATGCCTGGGGGTAGGGGGGCAGGAAGTGATTCCTGGGATTTCCCTGGGAGTGATTACATTAGAATCTCCAGGCTTGAGCCCAGAAATGTTTTTCTCAATGATCCCCAGAGATTCTGGTGCATCCAGCTCAGCCCCGGTACTGCATTTAGAAACACAGACACACACCACCCCCCAAATACACACACACACTCTCTCTACCCCAAAGGCCTGGTAATAATCTTGTATTAGGACAGATTTCCATTTTCTGAGCATGCCTAGGCAACTGCCTTTTTTCCTAATTATTATTGGTAAATGTTCAATTAGTGGTTGTAACAGGCCCAGGAGTTTAAATCTATTACTAAAATCCTTTCTGGAAGTAGATGACACATCCAATTAATGAGTGCTGTCAGAGTAATCAGTGAATTAACTGATTCCAGCAGTTCATCTGTTTCCTCCACCAAACCCATCGGCGGAGCTGCTGACACACACACAGTGGACAAGCTGGGCCCCTCTTGGGTTTCACTAGTTCTCGGGAGATGTGCATGAGCGATGCTGGGACAAGGGAGGCCAGGAAACAGATGCCCGGTGGCCCCACGAGGGACACCAACCAAGGGTTGCCCAGCCATATGGACAAGGGGCTCACGGGTTGGCATCACAGAAGCCCAGACAGAAAATCAGTGAATGACATCTCTTCCTCTTTGAAGGTGAAGGCAGAGTCCCTGGGGATTCCTCAGAAAATGCAGCTCAAAGTCGACGTCGAGTCTGGGAAACTAATCATTAAGAAGTCCAAGGATGGTTCTGAGGACAAGTTCTACAGCCACAAGAAAAGTAAGACCCCCTCGCGCCTGCACGCTCTTGTCCTGCTGGTGTTCTTACAGATGACCATCAGATAAACTTATCCATAAAATGGGAACTATTCACTCCACCAGTGATTATGGAGAAGCTTCTGTGGGCAAGACCCTGGGGACCCCAGGCGAGCAGGACGATAAGGCATGGAATTTACATTCTGATGCATTGAGTGGCCAATAAATAAATAAATATATCAATACATTGGTTTCAGCTACAGATAAGAGCTGTAAAGAAAACAAAACAGGGTAATAGGGTAGAGATTAACTGGGCAGAGGGGGTAGTTCAGAGGTGCAGACAGAGAAGACCCCTCTGAAAGGGGGCGTGTGAGCTGAGACCCCAAGGTTGAGAAGCAACACGTCCGACAGGGAAGAGCATCGCAGCCAGGGGAAGAGCATGTGCAAACACCATGAGAAGGGCACAAGCAGGGCGCACCTGTGGAAGAGCAGAAATGGGGCCTTGGGAGAGGGGTAAGAGGTGGTATTTGATGGCAGGGGACGTTTGGACGACTTAGCCTCATGGGTATGATAACTGAAAGAAAATGAGCTGAGATGCTGGGTACCGTTCAAGCTTTATAAAAGAAAGAAATCTGCTGGGCTATGCTCAAAATGGAGAACAGCCCGGGGCTGCCCTGAAAATGGGGGACAGCCCCTAATATAGGGCAGTGGGAGCTTCTATTGGTGTGTTGGTGCCAAGAGCTGAGTGATGTAATTCTGGGGTGGGGATTGAGTTAGGTCACGGGAATGGAGAGTTCTGCGCATGTGAAATGCCAAAAGTTTCATTTTCTCCAAAACCATGAGGCTTCTTGTAAAAGGGAACAGGGGAAGGAAGATGAGGAGGTGGACAGTGCCATTTTGTACATGGGCTTGTCTAAAATGGCGCTGGTTATGTTGCAGATCTGTTAATAACAAGTTTAAATTTTATCTCAAGCACAAAGGAAAGGCTTTGGAAACTTTAAGCAAGAACTTGAGTGCCAGACCTCAGTGCCATTGAGTTAGCCCCACCTGGGGAGGGGACAGCAGGTAACCGGGCCATGGGTCCATTGTTTCTACTCCCACGGGGCAGGCAGGAGAAGGCCCAGGTTAGGGAGGCTGTGCAGGTGTCTGGAGGCAGGGGGACGCCAGCACCCAGCTGGGGGCTGCACGAGCTGCTGGTCAGCAGCAGAGGGGAGCAGGGAATGAGGAAACACACAAACTTCTGAGCAGTCCCCAGTTCTGGCTGATGCCAACAGTGTCAGTGCCAGAGATGCGGTGGTTCTTTCTTTAGGTGGTCGATGGCTTCTCCTGAGAAACCTGATCAGTGCTGTGGACCCCCCTCAAACTAATCCCCACCTTCACACAACAGTTTGTATCCCATTTCAGGGTTTCAGACCCCCTGGAAGCCAAAGCCCCTCTGGTCTATAACAACATTTTTCATTTTTCAGCATCTCAATTAGGGTTGCCACATTTAGCAAATGAAAATACAGGAGGCCCAGTTAAATGTGAATTTCAGATAAACAATGAATAAGTTTTTAGCATAAATATGTCTCATGAGACATTTGGGGTTTTTTGTTTTTGTTTGTTTTTGGCAGTTTGCCGGTACAGGGATCCAAACTCATGACCTTGGTGTTATAAGGCTGTGCTCTAACCAACCGAACTAACTGGCCAGCCCGCATGCAATATTTGGGACCTACTCAAATTAAAAAAGGAAAAAAAATTCCTTGTACTGGCTAGCCACAGAAGGGAAAAAACCTATATATACATACATACATACACACACACATATATATATATGTGTGTGTATGTATATATATATATATATACGTATCTTATCTGGCAACCCCAGGCATGATCGTCATCTTTTGTTCTTAATAAAGTAGTATGGGAATAGCAAAGAACAAAAAGGACTAAAGGAAAGTATCAAAGTCGTTTTGTAGGGAGTAAAGGTAAATATTTTTCTTGAAACTTGTGTTGTAGTTATAGACACACATATAAATGTATTTGCCTTGGGTCACCACTTAAAACACATTTTTCCTGGGGGTCACAGGCAAAAAAAAATAAGAGGATGCAGGAGCTGGAGGCTTTTCCTGACAGGAAGCAAAGGACTCTCATCTGGTTATGTTAGAACCCTGACTTGTGGGATGGAATGTTCTGGAGGCAGGTTCTAGGTTGGAGACTATGGCCGATGGCTGGATTTGGAAAGTTGGGAAAATCCTGGTGCACCAGCCTTGCCATGCAGGGGCCCTGTGGGGAGCCTGGGCTGTGATTCCACTAGGAGGTGGAGTGGGCTTCAGAGACCATCCTGGCTCAGCACCAGTGCTCTGAAAGAAGCACCAGCAGAAATGACAAATGGCACGTCACAGGCAGGTCTCTGGGGTCCCAGAATGAGCCATAGCCTTTCTCTATCTCTAGTCAAGAATGCTTGCCTGAGGGCTGGCCAGTTACTCACTTGGAAGAGCATGGTGCTGGTAACACCAAGGTCAAGGATCCCCTTACTGGCCGGCCACCAAAAAAAAAATAAAAAACAACCCAGAATGCACACCTGAGCTGTCTATTCAGATGGCAAATGTGTTCCCGCAAATAACCTGTCCGTTGGCCCTAAAACCCCCTAGGGTTGGGCGTTCAGAGGGACAGGAAGGGAGATTATATATTCAGCACTGACTTGGTGCCAGACACTGTGTTGGCTACAGTAGGGTAGAGAAGAGCACATATGGGCTCTGGGGCCAGACTACCCAGGTTCAAACCCAGGCTCTGCCACTTGCTGGCTGTGACACATTGACCTCTTTACTTAGCCTCTCTGTGCCTCTTTTTTCTCATCTGTAAAATGGGAGCAGTAGTAATAATAGATTTCCCATAGAGGAGCTCATGCATGTGAGAGCACCTTGCATGTCTCCAGCACAGCGCTGATTGCATGACAGTGTCCAGGCAGAGTCCAGGGAGAGAGGTCTGCCCCACATGGGCTGCCCTGCTCTGTATCCCCCCTCCTGAGTGCCACCTGGGCTCTGCACTGAGCTCAGGGGGTGCTCTTGGTGCAGCAGGGGGTGGGGACCAGTCCAGTGCAGGAGGTGGGGGCAGCGATTGATGGTGGAGGGGAGGAGAGATGTCTTTTCCTTCTATCATTCCGAGCTCTTGGCTGGATCCCCTGTAACAAAAGACAGATTTGCAAGAGAAAAGCATATAGCTGTATTTAATGTAAGTTTTACAAGACATAGGAGCCCTCATGAGGAAATGAAGACCTGAAGAAGTGGTTAAGCCTGAGTGTTTCAGGCTAGGTATGAGGACAGGTGGATGGTCGTGGAAGGATGAGACAGGAGGAAGGGGCCACGAGCTAAGCTTAGTGCACTTGGAGGAACTTAGCAAGGCTCATGCGTTCAGATTCCTCTCTGTCCCTCTGTACTGAGATAAGGATGCACTATCATCCGACTGTAGGGAGGGCATCGCTCACATGAGTGTCTTATGACCTGCTTCAAAGGAAGGTCAGGAAGTCCTTCCTACACATGCTGTTTCTCAAATTCCTTCAGCAAAAAATATTCAATATGCCAAGGTGCCATATTGTGGGGTAGTGTGTCCTGAACCCCATCAGTAGCACAGTGGAGTGTTGGCAGCCCGGACTTGAGTCCCAGCTCAGCCACTTAAAACCTTGGTCTGGTGCCTTCTCTCTGATCCTCAGTTTACTCTTCTGTCAAATGAGGATAAGAATAGCATCCTGCAGGGCTGCCATGAGTCTTACGTGGTAAACATCAAAGTACATAGTGCCTAGGTGCCACTCGATACAGTCGACTGCTACCAGCACCGTCACCATGATTACCCTTCTGACATAGCCGAGAGGAAGGCAGAAAATCAGGAATAAAGTCCCTGGATGCCAGGGGTGACAAGCTGTCATATTCCTGCACAGCTGAGCTCATAATGTCGGGGCAGGGCCCCTCTGTATGGAGCCAAGTTGGGAAGGAGAAAGGGGGGGTTACTGATGATTTGAGTGGGAGGGCTGTGTTGAAAATGATCAGCATAGAGCGGTGCTTTCCTCTTACCTGTCAAGGAGAAAGGGGTGGACCCAACTTTGATAAGAGGAAATGAAAATCTAAGATGAGTGAAGAGATTGTCAAGGGTGCTCGATCTAAAAAACTTGAGATGGAAAGAAACACCTTCCAGATTGCTGAGAAGTGCCCTGAGTCATAAACACTCCTTCAAAGAGTTTGCAGTTTAAAGGGGAAGCTGGCCAGTGCGTATGAATTAGAACGCCAGGCAAAGACCAGCCTCCAGGGAGGACTGACTAGTTCTGTTGTGAGGTGAGGCAGGGAGGCTTTCAAGGATGAATGGGAGTTCACCCAGCACGACGCAGGGGAGGGCACAGAGAGTGACAGAACCACACGTGCAGGGAATGGAGCAGGGTGTTAGGGAAATCACACATCGCTCATCGTGGCCCTGGAGGGAGAAGCAGCTGGGCACACAGTCCCAGATGTGGGCAGGGCCTTGAGTGGCAAAGTAAGTAAAGGCTGGAGCCATTCTCCTGCGGGCTGTGGGAGCACTGGGGGTTTGCTGGCAAACGCGGTGGATGTTCCCCTTGTGAAAGAGCCGAGCTGGAGATCAGTGGCCCTGAGAAAACCCAGCTTGAGTCAAGAATGGATGATTTCAGAGCAGGTTTGTGAGTCCTTAAAAGGGCAGCCTAGACGCCCAGAGCCTGTCAGCTCAGATTCTCTGGGGCCGTGCCCACCTGGCTCCCGTCCTACCCCCATCCAGGCTGGTGGAGTTTGGCTCACTTTCTGTCCTGACATCCGTCATATCAGAACACAATTACCTATGCACAAGGCCCCTGCCCCTCCCAAAGAGGGCAGGGTCTTTACCTTATATGCCCTGGAATCTGCAGGCCGTGGTAAGCAGCATTTGCACACTCAGAGACTGCCAATCACCGGAAGTGCTTTGAAATGTTGCTCATAAATCCCAGCTCCCCCCTCTTTAATGTGGGCCCCACAAGAGCCAGGATGTGAGTCATTTTTGTTCGCCACT